TATGGTATATAGAGGAAGGAAATAATAAAAAAATATCTGAGAAAAGCTGGCTCCATGACAGCAAACAAGCCTGCTGGAATCTACATATTGCAGAGAATTCTCTCAATGTGTTCTCAAGCTGCTCAGTAAATAAACTACACATTGTCTGCTATGTCGTTTGCTAACATTTGGTATAACGGCTCCAAAAACTATCAAATTCCTAGTGTGCTTCCTGTTGTAATAGATTGTGTGTACAGGGTATTTTATCTTCAGATGATGTGAAGTCATTGGAAAGAAATTAGTCTTAAATTTTTTTATTTACTGTTTAAATAATTATAAATTTGATTATGGATTTAATGTAATGATTTTATTTGTGTTGTTTATCATGACACTCTTGAAAAAGACTTTTTTTTATCTCAGTGAAGTTTTCTTAGTTAAAATGAGGTTCAATAAATAAATGAAATAAACCTAGTTATCAAAAAGTGGCACATTATTAATAACTTTTTAGATCCCATGACACACATCATAAATCTTTTTAAATTGCCGTAAGTCATAGATCTTCTAAGTCTTGCTCTTGTCATGGAACTTCTCAAATCCTCATCAGCATAACTGCAGCAGTACACACATAACACAGACTATATGAATCTGTAAATTGTTACATCAAATACCAAAAACTGTTTGTCCAAATTCACATATAAAACAGATTTAGTAGTTAATTATTAAATAAACTTGGTACTGTGAAGATTTTCTGCATTCATTAGCCACTGCCTTATTTTTTATTGTCATTTACTAAGATTTGTTCTCAGATAGTATAGATGGTCAATGGAGTAAAATTAGATTCAGCTAAAACTGAATGAACACCAGCACAGATGCTCAGCTATACTACCTCATATTGTACAACTGCAAGGCTAGAACATGTCCGTGCAAATTCTCAGTCGTCCAGGTCATAGTAATCTGAAAAAGCATAGGGGACATTGTTGGCTGTTGAAGGACTGAAACACCACCCAGGGGGATAAATTCCTCCTGCCCACCACCAGTCGGACAGAACTGATTAAACCTCTTGAATGAAAGGTGAAACATCTTCTACCTAAAAGTAAGTCCGGATGATTTTAAAAAAAAAGTTTTTTCAGCTTGCATGGCTGTAAGGGTGAGGTCGCCCTCTGGTGCACAAAAAGAAAACTGGACAGGGAGTCAAATTAAATCAGCCACAAGCTGAATCTCTCTTCTCTTTCACCAAGCCACAGTACCAGTGATGGTGTAATGGATTTAAAATAAGGTTTAAGTATAAGTCAAAACTAAGGGATATTATCAAAACCAGATGGATATATAGTGATCCCTGATTTTTATTTATTTATTTTTGTGGCCTATACTCCTGTGCATTACTTAAATCAAGCACAATGTTACTCAGCATACTGGGTTCACTAGTGGTGTTATTTTGACTTTCAGTGGGAAGCACTCTAGGCCAACCCTTGAACTTAACCACATCTGTCAAGGGCCAGATGAGTGTAGACCAGCAAAGAAGCACCCACAGACTGTTCTGATGCATTTCTTTTAATTTGCTGAATGTATGTCATCTGTGTGTCTGTGTTATTTTGTTGTTTCATTTTTTTCACTGATCTTATTTATTCTATTTTAGTTATGTATTATGATTTTATTCTGCCATGTAAAGTACTTCGGTCAACTGGATGTTGTTTTTAAAGTGCTATATAAATAAATTTGATTTGATCGGATTTATTCTTTCCCTGTTGTGTCCCTGCACAGTTTGTTGCATCTATGGCCTTTTCACACTCTTTGCCTTGCATAGAGCTCTGTGGCCTCTTCCCAGTGGTAAAACCAACAGATAGACTCAGCACTTGCTGTTCTCACAACTTATCTTTACCAGTGTAAACATCCATCCATCCATCCATTTTCCTCCACTTATCTGGAACCGGGTCGCGGGGGCAGCAGTCTAAGCAAAGATGTCCAGACTTCCCTCTCTCCAGACACTTCCTCCAGCTCCTCCGGGGGAATGC